GGGGGGCCCGCCGCGCTGCCCCTGGCGCTGCGCATCGCCGTCACCGAGGCCGTCTGCGCCGCGCTCCAGGCGTTGCGGTGGTCCGCGGAGGACCTTTGCCGGGCGATGCCGACCCTCGAGCTCGTCGGGGGCTCCTTCTTTGCGATGCTGTGCGACCTGACGGAGACCTCGCGCGAGTTCGTGATCGAGAACTCCCTCGACGTCCTTTTGGCCGATTGCCTCCAGGCGTCGCTGCAGAATCCGGATGAGGGGGCGGCGAGGTTCGCCAAATTGGGAGCTTTTTGTCCGAATGGCATCATGCCGAATAGAGGCTTTCCGGAGTTAATCGCAGGGGTCCTCTACAACGGCGGATCCACGAGCGAGAAAGTGACGAAAATCACCCATCTAATGGGGCTTATTGGCTCCCGAATCGAATTGTTTCAGGATCTCATGAAGGGTGCATTAGCCTCTGTCGTTTTAAACGTGATCTCGTGTGAGGCTTCTGCGCAGTTGGACTACATCTCAACATCTCGTTTGGCCGATATCTCACTCACGGACGAGGAGGAGGATATGGAGGGCGAGGGATCGATGAGCACGGAGGCCTTTGATAAATTTTGCCTTGCTATTCGCCAGGCTATTGCGCTCTGCGATTGTGGGGCAGCCCCCTCGTCGAGTGCGTTTTTGGCCGCGCTGGAGGGGCCGCCCTCGCTCTCAGCGGCGAGTTATGAGTTGGTGAATCATCTTTTTGATATTATCGACCGGATTAGCGGGCGAATGGGGGTGGTACGTCGTCCGAATGTGGCCTCTCTCGATCTTCATCAGGTAAGTACAAGCCCTGATCCTCCTTCCCCTCTTAAAGAGGGGAAGGGTGTTCGGACTAGCACGGAAAACTTTGTTGGCGACCGCCGGGAGGCTTCTTCCCTGCCCTCATCGGTATCTCAGACCACACTTCGGCGCTGGCTCCTCGGGCTTTGTTCGTTTATTCGGTTTATGAATCAACACGCGACCTTGGCGGCAGCGAAGCTTCCCTCGATGCTCGATTTTTTCTATCCCATTTCCTCCCTTCTGGAGGATGTTTCTCGGGTTTGGTTGACGCTTATCGAGGGCTGTACGGCCGACTATTTGCAAGAACATGCGCCGGCGATGGTGGTGGATTTGGTGAACATTGATTTTGCCACGCATTCGATTAGCGCGCCCGCCCTGCGCGGGCTTCGTTGGGCGATTCAAAAACTTCACGCCCGCACCTCCGGCGAGTCCTTTTGGCATTCTTACTTTCAATTGATGGGAACGACGAGCCGGTTAATGGGCGCCTTGCGCGGCGACGTCGACCTGGGCTTTCACGTCGAGGGGGCGAACGCCGACGACGAGGACGCGACGCAGCCAACGGAGGCATCGACGGCCGCGAGGTTAAAGCCCTCCGCGTCCGCGAAAGCCGGGCCTTCCATCCCCGCCATCGTGCCGCCGATTGCGCAGGCGAAGGTCGTCGTCTGCGGGTTTCTCGCGATCATGCGGAGCAGCTCGCGGAAGTGCAAGGCGATTTCGCTGCACGCCCTGCACGAGTACCTTCAGCGCGCGGACATTAGCATTCGCTTCGCCATGAGCCAGGTCGCGAGCGAGAATGTGGAGTTTTTGCCGGTTCTCCTCCGCGCCTCGCGCGAGCTGGAGCGGCGGGAGGTCGCGGACGTCCTCGCCTGCCTTGGGGTGATAGGGGCGATGCCGCCCTCGCTCTTTCGGGCCCGGCCCGAGCGGGCGGCGAGCGCGGCCGACCCCTCCTCTCACCCCGGGAAGCCGAAGGGCCTGGATTCCCCGACCGGGGGGGAGCATCTTCGCCATTTCGTCGCCTCGGAGCGGTATTATTTGGAGCCGGAGTTGGTCCTGAGCTGGCGTGGGTTCTGCGGGCTGCTGCTCGAGGTGTACTGCCCGCGGGCGCTCGCGAATACGTCGGACCCGGTCATGCACGACCGCGCGGCCTACGCCGTGCAGGAGCTCCTGCGGGTCTGCGCGGGGAGGGAGCGGGGGGAGATGAACGGCATCCCCCTCCGCCCCGGGGACGTTTTGCGAGGGGAGGAGCTCGCGCGCTATTCCTGGTGGGCCGGCCTGCCGCCGCGGATCCAAACCACCCTGGAGGGGTTTCTCACCACCCGCTATTCGACCTTGATCGTCCACCGGACGGAGCGGCGGAGCCCGGAGTATCGCACGGGGATGCCGTTTTTGGCCTGGGCCTTTGCCGTCTTTCGCAACCTCGCCGGGCGCTGCTCGGGGTGGTTCGCCGAGGTCCTCGCCATGCTGCGGAACGTGGCGAAGCGGGATGGGAGTTTGATTATGTTTCTCCTGCCCTACAGCGTCGTGCACCTTCTCAAGCAGGGCGATAACGCCGCGCTGGGGGATCTTTTGCACGAATTCGACGTCGTCTTCACCGCGGCGAGCGCGATGGGCCCGTGGGTGGGGGCGGGGGGGCCGACGCCGTTTTGGATGAGTTTGCGCGCGCAAAACCCGGCGGAGCCGACGAGCCCGCGCGGGGCATCGCACGAGTGGATCTCAACCCGCACGGGCGTCGAGGAGCACGCGCGGTATCTTTTGCACCTTCTGGAGGACCTCCATCAGCTCCACTGGGGGATGCTGCGCGTGGGGCATCGCCTGAGCAAACTCCGCGCGGCCGAGACGTACGAATATGTCGAGGATACCTGCCTTCGCCTGGCCACGGCCTATCGCGCCTTTGAGGATCACGTGGAGTGGGCGAAGCGGGCGCAGGCGGGGATCGCCGTCGGGGGTTTCCTGCGCGCCCTCCGCGCGGTCGAGTCGCCGCGGCGGCTGCCCAAACTCGTGGATGTCGTCGCCGCGATTCCGCTTCAGCGGGTTTTTGCCGCGCTCGGGGATCGCGATTCCGCGCGGAGCCTCCATCGCCTCGCGCATCACCTTCCCGCCTCGGAGGTCGCGTTTTCGCTCGAAAACAGTGGGGATTGGCTGCTCGCCATGCAGAATTGCGAACTCGTCCTCCAACACGAGCCGTGGAGCATCCCACATCAGTTCACCCTCCTGCGTTGTATGCGGCACCTCGGCCAACTACACCTGATGGCGCGCTACGCCGAGGCCTCTATCCGGCAAAACGAACAGCTCAATACCCATTTAACAAACCCTTCATCTTCTTCTTTTTCCTTTTCGTCGTCTTCGGGGTCTTCGGCTTTTTCGTCCTCGCTTCGTCAGCCCTTTCACGCACCGGGGTCGCCCGACTTCACCGCGGCGGCGCTGCGGAACTACGCGAACGAGGCGGCCTGGCGGCTGGGGGAATGGGAAAAAGTCCGCACCCACCCGACCCTCCCCGTGAGCCTCGCAGGGCCGGTTGTCAAACTCATGGGGGCTTTTATTGAGGCGGGCAGCGAAAGCGAAAAAGGAGAGGGAATGGGGAAAGGCAAGCTTCCATGGGAGGTCAAACTTGCCACCCAGGAGCAGCGTGAGAAGCTGATTGATATTATTCAATCGACTTGTCGGGAGGGGTACAGCCAGAGTTACCCTCACCTGGTGATGCTTCACGGGCTTGCGGATGTGGATTTGGTGGTGGATATGCTGCTGCTTCGTTCGCGAAGTTCTTTACAGTTTGGGGAAATCAAAAAACGGTACTTTGCGGCAGAGGATTCCTTTACTCCGCAAACAGGGGGTTCCGACGCGCGCGATGGGGGGATCGCGCATCTGAGCGGTAGCCACGTGTTCACGATGCCATCGGGGGTTGGAGACGGTGAAGAAGAGGACCCTAGGAGGGCGGTGGCGTTGGTGGTCGATGCCTTGAAAGCACGTTTAAGTTATCTAGATCACAGTTTAGAAGCGCGTGAGCCCATTCTTTCCCTGCATCGCACCATTTATCGCGCGCTCGGGTTAAATCACGAGGTCTCTCAGACGTGGATTGAGCACGCCCGATTGCTTCGCGATGCGGGGTTCTACGAGGCCGCCCTAAATGCGGCTCGGCAATCCGACTACGCGGCTTCCGACCCTGCCAGCTCCGCCTTTTACACGCTCAACGCGGTGATCCTGCACGATATGAACGCCACCATCCACGCGATGGAGTTTGCCCAGCGGCATGCCGAGAATAAACAACTTTCCAGCGCCGTCCGCGCGCAGCTGCAGCTGCTCCTGACAAATTGGAAACTCGAGGTCGGCTCACAGACGCCGAAGGAGGTGATCAGCGCGTACGAGGCCGCACTGGAGCTGGATCCGTCTTCCGAGGAAGCGCATCACCACTTGGCGCTTTTTTACGACAAACTCTACGCGATGTCTTGCCAGCAGCTGGATCCGCCGTCAACGACGAAGCGGTCGACGAGCTCGTTTTCCAGCTTATCACCGGCGGAGAAAGCCAACATGGAGAAGTACCATGGGGATATTCTCCAATCCGTGGAGAACTACGCGCAGTTCGCGGTGAAGCACTTCGGCAAGGCGCTTTTAAAGGGCCACGAGACGATGTCGGTTTCTCTTCCGCGGATGCACACGCTTTGGTTGGATGCCACCGCCACGCTTTTTGATTTAACCTCGCCGACAACCTCCCCGCCCACCACCATCGCCAAGGCGGATTCCCTTCTTAAGCGTCTCAACAACCTGATTGAAGGCTTTTTGCTCCCTCAGGAACTCAAAAAGGAGGATGAGGGCAGTTCCCCAGCTGATCCCAGCGGAGGTGGCATCCCGCCCAAGGTGATGATGCATGCCCTCCCGCAGCTTCTCTCTCGGCTTTGCCATCCCAGCGCGCACGTCGGCTCGCTGCTCACGCGCACCATCGTGAGCCTCATGCGGGCCTTCCCCCAGCAGTGCCTTTGGATGGTCCTTCCGATTGTCTTCAGCCACCAAACCGCCCGCGCGAAGATCGCGAAGTTGAGCATTTTGAACCCCTTTATTCAGCAGTCCGAGGCCCACAAGGTCCACCTCGAGAACGCCTACATCATCCTGCAATCGCTGATTGACCTGTGCAACTGCCCCGCGAGCGTCTTTGCCGACAACGCGAAGCTGACCCAGCAGCCCTTCATCCAAAAGGCGGAGAAAATCATGCCCTCGGCGCGCTTTATCCTCCCGACGCTGCGCAATTTCACGCCGGACTTGACGGCGGATCACGTCGATGCGGTCTTCCCCGGGAGCCCGTGCTTTTTTCGCTTCGACGACAAGGTCCGGGTGATGGCCTCCCTGCAGATGCCGAAGCGGGTGTGGGTCTTCACCAACCACGGCGACGCCGTGTCTTTCCTCTGCAAGGCCAAGGACGAGCCGCGGAAGGACATTCGCATGATGGAGATCGCGGGGTTGATGAATACCTTTTTCCTGAAGGACCCCGCGGCCCGGCGGCACCGCTTCGAGCTTCGCCGCTACGCCATCATGGCGTTGACGGACGACTGCGCGTTTATTGAGTGGGTCAACCACCTCAGCCCATTGCGGACGGTGGTCAGCCAAACCTACGTCCTGGACGGGACAGGGGTGCGCACCTCGGAGGTGAAGAAGTGGTACACGAAGGTCGAGGCGCGGACGCTGAGCAAGATGAAGCTCTTCACGCAGTACATCCTCCCTGCCGCCCCGGCGGTGCTGCACCAGTGGTTTGACATGGCCTTTGCGAGCAATTCGGCCTGGTACCAGGCCCGCGAGCGCTTCACCCAGTCCACGGCCCTCTGGAGCATCGCGGGCCACATCCTCGGCCTGGGCGACCGCCACGGGGAGAACCTCCTCATGGACCTCCACCGCGGCGAGCTGCTCCACGTCGACTTCGCCTGCATGTTCGACAAGGGCGAGACCCTCGAGGTCCCGGAGCGGGTCCGCTTTCGCCTCACGCCCAATCTCGTGGATGGGATGGGGGTGCTTGGGGTGGAGGGGGCCTTCCGCGCGCGATGCGAGCTCGCCCTGCGCTGCCAAATTCGGAATAAAAAGGCGGTCATGAGTATCGTGGAGATCCTCCTGCACGACCCGCTGGTGGAGTGGAGCGGGGGGCGCGGCTCGCGGCGGCCGGCAATTGCGCCGAAGGGCTTGGTCGGACGCGTGGCCAGGAGGCTGGATGGGTTTTTGGATCTTTATTCCAACCCAAGGGAGGAGGATACCCTCGCGCTAAGTGTGGAGGGACAGGTCTCAAAGCTCATTAGCCACTCCTCCGCTTTGGAGAACTTGTCGGAGATGTACATCTGGTGGATGGCATGGATATAGCACCGCGGATGGGGGGAGGCTAAAGGACGAGTAAAAATTCTCCCCCTTAAATAAAACTTGCTTCCCTCAGCTTTTAAGAATGTTTTAAGATTGTAGATATCACTCCATTCTATACGCACCTAATTGCTTTCTCATCATAATCGTATAATTTTTTTTGTTGAAGCGATCCGGTTAAATTATAATTTTTGATCATCAAAGTTTAATACACTATTATCGTAGTTTAATTACTTTCCGTAACAAAGAATTTGGACCGCTTGTTGAGTTTATTCCTTTTTTTTTATATATTAGAGTATGAACATGTTTGTCAATGAAAGCTTCTGTAAAGTGTCTTTAGGTTATTATCTTGGGATTATTATTTCAAATTTATCAAAAAAGAACAATAGTCAAACTTTAGAGGAAAAGGTGTGGCAAATAGAAATTAATGAAATGGCTTAGACTCCTTTTAGTACGACGAAAGCGGACTCCTATGCCGCCAAAACCCTATGTAGATACTTCCTCTCCGGGAAGACATATGGTCGATAAAAGATTATATGATATGGGAGATTTAAAGAACATCGATCCGGAAAAGCCGCACTGGCAGGATCCTCGCTATGAAACACGTGAAGAGGTGCCTTTTTTTGATTTCTTTGGGTTTAATCGAGATTGGAGCTGGAGCCTTTTTAAATTGTCCTTGTTGCTGTTTGGTTTGCTGATGTATTGGGAGATACGGATGTGGATTTACACCAAAGATGATGGCTTTAGGCTGTTCGGAACTCCAATGATCTCACCAATCCCTAGTTATGCGCGTGATGACAAAGATACTGAGGAGGAATTGAAAAAAGCGGGGTACACCTATATTGGGGTGAAGAACTTGGATAATTTAGGCTTAACTGATTCGTTGAAATCGCCACCAACGCCATCGTTCTAAAAGGGTGTGAAAGAGTTTGTATTTCTAGACTGGACTCTGTACACTTTGATTTATTCTTTCAACTTCCTATTTTTTTAATTAGGTGTGAGTAAAGAAGTGGATTCTCTCCATTCATCTTATTTGTCCTCCCTTTAAAATACACTTAGGCATTATTGCCCTATCTGTATTATTAGTGGAAGTCTATATGAGTCGATTGCTTGTCACTCTGTATTTTTTGTACCTTTTGGTCTGTTTAAATAGTGCATCCCCTCCTTCCTGAATAAAAATAACCTATCCCAACCCTACTCCTAATGCGTTTTCCACACAAGCCTTAGACCCTTCCAAGGTGATTCAACCCCGCGGACTACCCCCGCGGCCCTGTGATTCCCCCCCCCCCCCCCCTGCGGCCCAGCCCTTGACCTCGGGCAACGGAAAGCGCGGAGGGCGATGAATGAGCTCCACGCGCGGCGCCGGGCCCAGGCGATGATGTTCCACCAGCTCATGCGCAGCCACGGCACGCTCTGGGCGGCCACCCAGCTCACCCGCGAGCCCCTCGACCTCGGCTTCGTCAAGGAGGAGTTCATGCGGGTGAACGGGCGCCGCTGCGGGCCGTTGTTAACCCGCGCCGCCGCCGAGAAGGGCGGGCTCGGCGAGAGCCATTTCACCCACCTCACCGAACACGCCGCGTGGGGCGAGAGCTTCCGCGCCTACGCCGTCCAGCAGCAGACCCCGATGACGAAACATATCGCCGCGATGGGGCGGATGGGCGAGACCATCGCCCAGGCGCGTTCCGCCACGACGGCGCAGGGCTTATTTCTGGAGTATATGGCGGCGATTGATGGTATTAGCACCTTTGAGCAGGAATCCACACTAGACGAGGAGGAGTTTGAATGAGGGGGAGGAGGCGTGCTTCCAATGCCGGGAGCGCGATCGTTGGGGAGGTTTTATGGATGTTTACGATTCCTTTATCGATGTCTTCCCCGTATTACTGTTTGACGGAGGGTAGGGATTGTGGTGGAAATCATTGAACCGACGGATTTTTCTTGCCGTATGATTTGTTTTGCTTTTCATGGCTTGCCCATCGTAGAAAAATCAGAGAAAATTGTGTAAAAGTTCCCTTTTCGCTTTCTTTTTTTATCATGTTGTAACATCACAAAATAGGAACAAAAACTCCTAGGTGAGGCGAAAGTGAAATGATAACTGAAAAACTTTAGGATATAAATTTTTTTCCTTATCTTTTACCATTTTTTTTTTTGGTGGAGTTAGGTGCATACAGTAAAAGAAGTAAAAGGACGGGCACACTATACACGTAAACAGTCACGCACTATAGAACACATTAGGTTAGGGCTTCTAGATAGAAGAGGATTCAATCTAAAGAAGAATCCGTAAATTTCTTAGTTTTCTTCTTTTTTTTTACTCTTTCCCTTTAGCTGTTTATGTGAATAAATAAATAAATATTTCTCTATATAAATAGCCTTTACTAGTTTATATTAGACTTCTACAATATTGACATCAAACCATACGATTTGAATACTATAGCCATTTTGCGTGCTAACAACAGATTAAGCTGTTTCTAGTATTTTATTTTTTCGTTTGTGTTGCTCATATATATCCCTCCTAGAATTAGATCTCTGAAGGGAACGCCGAGGAGGATTAAGCTCTTTCTTTAGCATTTTTGTTTTCAAGCGTAAAAAAAAGGTGTGAAGATCCAAGCACTGACTAAAAATATGTTTAGCAGCTCAGTTAAATTTTTTTCTGATAACTTTCAACACAATCTGAAAGCAAAAAAAAAAAAAAGGATCTTTACGAGAATGGAGGAGAAAGTAAGGTGGATGTGATGCCTTTGCCCAGACAGGTTTCCGAATCCTTCGGCATTTCAGCCAACAAATCTTCCAACGCTTCGATTCAAACTCCCTCTACGCAATCAGAACTTCATAGCCGTGGAGTGACATCTAACTCTACTTCTACTTCAAAAATCCGAGTGATGACGAAGTCGCTAGGTTCTACCCCGGCAGTACCCACTAGGGGCTTTGTGGAGGTAAAAGGCCATCCACCGATAGGGACAACTATCAAAAAGATGCCACCTAATTTTTCAGCTTTCAAAATGCCAATTTACCCTCCTGAAGTCAGAGGTTATCAGGGGCCTTTGAACGAAGTTGACGGGTTTAAATCTGCCATGCAAGTATCCCATCCGCCGCAATCCATCACCTCCGCCGCATTACCACCTGGGGTGAAAGTAATTGTCGGGCCCCCGCAGGCAGGCGTGATGATGACTCCTAGACCCTCGCAATTAGGAGATAGCAATAGTATCCATTCCCCAACGCGTGTCAATGAGGAATCTAAACTTAAGTTAAACAAAATCCCACCCAATGTAAAGATTATTTCAGTCCCTTCTATGGTATCGAAACCGTCTAGTTCAAACTATGGAGGGGGACCAGAGGGAAAGATCGTTCTTCCTTCTCCTAACATCGTAAAATCCGCCAAAGCAGGTTTTTTGAAGAGCACTCCTCCAGCTTCTTCGCTGTTGTCTGCTAAAGTGCCCATGCAGAAGGTGGTAAATACTGCTTCTGAAGAGCAACCACCTAAAAACGTTGGACCACCTGCGTTGTCTAACTTTCATCTTAGTGCTGGTCAAACGTCCTCGACGAATCCGAATCCACCCTCTCCCTCGTCTTCGTTTGTTTCGCTGATTCCACTCGCAAAAATGACTCCCACGATTTCCTTACTCACTTTTCCACCCAAAACCAGTGTAAGTCGAAACGAAGGCGAAAACTCAGTTTCGGGTACGCCGCAGTTCACAAGCCATTTATCCGTCAACCTGAGCTCGAGGGCAAACGAGGACAAAAGCGAAAAGGCAGAGGGCAGGTTTGCGGTCAAGGCGGAGGATAGCGGGATGGAGATTAATTTTATGACCGAGGATGAGAGCACCATGAAGACCCCGCAAAAATCGGACATTACCGCCGCGTGGCCTCTTCAACGGCGGAACTCCGTCGAGAGCACGCCGTTGTTTCACCAGGCGGAGTCTCCCGCAGCTTCCTTTAACCTAAAACCCAACCATCTCGCGCCGTCGATCGGATCCCAACCCGGTCACACCGCACCGCGGAATCGATCCCCCCCCCCCTCGGATTCCGAGCTGACCTCT